TACCCTGCCAATTATAATCACTCCATTTTCTTCTAATAGTGATCGTATGATGTTACCTGTATATAGAGAACATTATCTTGACCAACTTTATGTTGAAGACTTAGTTCCTTCACTTTCATCTTCATTATCATCTTCACCTTCTTCATCGTCAACTTCTCTATCATCATCTTCTATTTCTTCATTCACGGATTCTTTTCTTGAAATGATTAATCCAAAATCATTATTCGATGAATCAAAATTAAATTCTTTACCATCTTATCGAAGCATAGCTTCTTCTATACCCACTCCTCTTGCAGATTCATCATTACCTCCTATTTACAATGACTACGTTATATGAAATTTTTTTTTAACTCCGTATCATATGAAATTTCCCTAACTTTATGTTTTATATGAAGTTTCTTTACTTCTATTCTTCATATCCTTTACTCTATGCATAAAAAAAACTTAGATATTTACATAGATTTTTTAACAATTCACAAATATAAAATTTATAAAAAAAAATTTAATTATGAAGTATCGCTTGGTTGTCATTTTTTTTTAAAAAAATTCATAATTCAAAAGTTTTTAATATATAATATGGACTCCCAATCAATTAATTTAATTCACTAGTTTTTTTTTCTTTATTATAATTAAAATTTTCTCTAGATTCTTTGCATTTTCTTCATGAATTCATTATTATCATTATTTTTTAAAAAACTAGTTAATAATAAATTTCTTTTATGTACATACTATTTATTATTTTATATATTAATATATCGTAAATTAATAATTCTATCAATTAATGTATATTTTTTTATAAAAAAAATAAAATTAAAAGTCGAAACGTTTCAAAATTTTAAGACATGTGTATAATACATAGTATCAACTCAATTTTTAAATTATAATTTTGGCCAAAATTTTCGTAATTCTGGTCAATTTATAATGCCGGCCTAGATTAATTCTGATCCGCATGTGCCAGAAGTAAAAATTGATCATCATTTTTTAAAGCATACATGAATGTCATAAAATTGATTTTTTGAACGTTTCGAAGTTAGATTATTCTATTTCTGCACATACGGATCAGCGATTTACAATAATCCCGTGTAATATTCAAATTGTTATTTAGACATGTAGTATATGTTCTTTTTATATAATCTGAAGTTCAAGTTATAATATTTTCGACACTGGCAATCTTCACAATTTATATCTCAAGAATTTAAAGTCGGAAAACTAATAAAACTTAATAAACAATATAAAAAAAAAAATTATATTTATTAATCAATCTATTTAAGATATCTATCAATTGGTGAACCTACGATTTTTTTCGTAACCTTTCGATTTTAGTTTTTACTCTCCAATATATCTTATGAAGCTAAAATTTTAATAAAAGAATTAAGAAATGTTTAAAGTATCAGAAAATCAACTAAATTTTATAAAATTATCGCTATTTTTGAAATAGTCTGGTCAGTGGATTAGCCTATCAAAATAAATTATTTTTTCGAAAACACAGATATCGATAATCACATGTTAGTTTTAACCAATAAAATTAAGCTGCTCCTTAAAATATGGACGAGGCATTATTTTAAATATTTTTTATTTATTATACATTATTGCTATTACTACAATTTAATGCGCACATACACACTCTCTCTCCTCCCTAGATTGAGTTGATTGATAAAAATTTATTAGCAAAGTTATAATTAAAAAAAAATTAACATATAAAAAGTTTTATATGTTCAAAGTTTCTTGAAATAGGATTAAAGTAAATTAATTAACAGAAATAGTTTATATTCTTCGTTCTTTAATAAGAAATAACCGGAATACCCTAACATTTATAATATAAAATAAAAACTTATGTTTTTGTTGATTTTCCAGATTTTTATTACGCATGATCTGAATTTTCCGCAGCAACATTTTTTTATCACAGACCAACTGACCAGACTAATTCGAAATACAGTAGTTCACAAAAATATTAATTTCCTGATTTTGGTTATACTTGTGAAAATTTTGAAAGCTGGATCTTTTAATATAAGAGAATAATCTGTAAAATAAGTGTTTCCTAGAGTATAATATTTAAAGGAAAATAATTTAATAAGGCAAATTTGGACTATAGTTATTATTTAAGCTTAAAGGATTTACAAGTGATGTGCCGATTGACAATGTTTGCATAATATTTTACCATTGTTTCAAAACAAAACTATCTTTGGTTTCTTATTATTAATTATAAAAAATAATTATGCATCTAATTAATGGTGCAATTTTTCTAGAAAAACAATAAGAAAAAGGATAAATAAGAGATAAATAAAGCATATGATAACAAACAAACGACTTCTATTATTATTGTCCTTTTTTTTACTCCTTTTTTTCGCCACAAAAATAGATATACACAAGACAAAAGTAATATATACTATTATTAAATAAATTTAATAGAAACATTTAAACGCCAAGCAATTAACAAATGATTTCTGAACTTTTTTCTTTTTGCGTTTGGTGGCGTATTATGCTTTACACAACGACAACGAAACATTCGTTTTTCTTCTTACATCATTGTATAATGGAGGTTCTGGTGTAATGATGCTTAGAAATTGTTTGCGTTTCTGTGTGGCGTATTATGCTTTGCACAATGTAACATTCCCTGTTTTCTTAAATCATTGTAATCATTGTGTATGATATTAAATGGTGGCTCTGGTGTGTGTGATGCTTAGACATGCGGTGGGTGGCGTATTAGCTTTACACAAATGCAACATTCCCTTGTTTTCTTACATCAAATCATTGCTTGTTCGGGGTGTGCATATAAAAAAAAATATTTAGAGCATTCTATGAAAGACTTAATTTTCTCAATTAGTGAATTATCAAAATTCGGGGTGTGCATATAAAAAAAAATATTTAGAGCATTCTATGAAAGACTTAATTTTCTCAATTAGTGAATTATCAAAATTCTTGTAATTCTGATTTTTGAACTAATTTATGCAAAAGCATTAATGTAGTTTTTGTATTTGTAATCTTTTTTTTTAAATATTTTTCATTTAACAATGAAAAAACCAACTTTCCAGAGCCGATTTCTTGGAAGTAATGCGCAAAATGACGCAAGCTTAGTCAACTTGATCAGATGTTGCCAATTATGGAAATATTATAATGTTTATTTGATTACTTATTGTTTACATTATTGATAATTACTGAGCTTCAAGACGGCTTTCCAAAATTTAAATTTAGATTACAAGGAAGTTTATTAATAATAGAGTTTACAATGCAATTTTAGATGCCTTTGCCTGGTAAAGCTGAGTTAGGTAGAGAAGACGACTTGGTACCTGACCGATTGCATACTATTGGTATTACTTATTCCACCTTGAAACGTGTAATTTTAAAATATTTAATTGCATAATATATCTCTGAAAATAAAAGATAAAAAACCATTGTCACAATGAACAACTCCAGGTACTCTTTTAAACTCAAATTATTACAAAAAAAAGGTTTATCGAATATACTAATTACTGCGATTCTTTAGAAATTGTTAAAAAAAAGTAAATATGTATTAATTAGAGTGACGAACTTCATAGATGTATCGTGTAAATAATTTCTCATAAAAATGTAGTGTGGTAATTAATAACATAACTTTATTTGTTATATTTATAAAGTCGGAATAATTGTTATTACTAAGTATTATGTTGCTTTTGTTTTGGTGAATGTTGTGTGAGGGTGCGGGGAAGGATTTTTTTTATTTTTTTTTTATAAATGGTGTAACAGATTAAGTTCATATAAAATACTATAAATAAATTGGTATTTTTCTTATTTAAATAATTTATATTATTCTAGTTTATAATTTTGCATATAAACAGGTTGAAATTTTATCATCGTTTCGAGAAAATTTTCAGAGTCCAAATTTTTATTTAAGGAATTTTGAAAACAAAATTTATATCAAATCTAATACTTTTTTTAAATATTATTTCAAATACTTCAAAAATGGTTCATTTAACTATCAACCCTTCACCTTTATTTCAAATTCGATTAGAAGATGATACTCTTACTATGCGTGGTACTAATTCGGAATCTGTAGGATGTGTTCTTCGTGGTCAACTTGTTTTGTCTATCACTGAACCTACTAAAATTCGTGAAATTAAAATGAATTTCCAAGGAAGATCTAAAATTGCTTGGACTGAAGGTAAATTTTATTTTTAATCTTCGAGTTCATAATATTTATTTGCAACTAAATTATAAAATGAATAATTATTTACGATATTTTATCATTATATCATTTTGTTATATTAGGAACTGGTGCCGAACAATATTATCGTTCAGAAGAAAGAATATTATTTCAACATGATTGGATATTCCTTCCCGCAAAAAAGAATTATCACATTCTTCAACCTAATAATTATCAATGGGACTTTGAATTGGTCATTCCAGGAGTTTTACCCGAATCAATTGAAGGTTGTGAATTCGGAAATGTTAATTATCGATTAAAAGCTGTAGCGAAAAGATCAAAATTATCCTTTAATTTAAATACTCAACGAAAAATTAATATACAAAGATGTTTATCATCTTGTGAAGAA